ATTTATAGTTATTTATAGTTTAAAAAAAATTATTATGAGATTTTGTACCAAACTGTCTAGTGCAATTTCTGTTTACTTATCAGGCAAAAATAATTTAAATAAGATGAAAATTTTGATTATCCAAAAATTGAAGAGGGGATTCTTTTATCTTTTGTTTTTTTTATTTGAACTTTTAACTTACAATACGGTGCACCAAAGAAGCCTGCAATATTATTAGTCTAGTGCTTGTAAATAATGATATAGTGAAAAATTTTATGATTGACCCATCTTTGTTAGATAAGTGATAAATTAGAAAAAATCTACTTTATTGAACATAATATGATTTTTTATTCACATAAATAATATTACATAATAATAATTCAGTTTGCATGAACAATCAAAACAAAACAAAACAAAACCAATTTAGAGGCGCTGTTTGGGAACTGCCTAAAGAGGCTATTATAGCCTAAAAAATTTTTTAAGCCAAAAAGTCACTTTTGCAAGTTTTTTCAAAAAAAAAAAAAAAAAAAAAGAGGACTGCACAGCGGCAGTGTAGGCTATGCCTACACTGTCAGCTACAAAATTTGTTCCATCAATGATAAATTACGATTTTATCCCTTGACAACAATTTAAAAAAATATGATTTTAGAGACAAATTTGTTATTCTAATTTCAAACATCATTTCAACACATTTTTCAATACAACAACTCAAATAAAATTTATCTCAACTTTCCAAACACAAAAACTAAAATAGCCTATTAAAATAGCCAAAAAACCAAATAACCTACTAAAATAGCCACTTCCCAAACGAGGCCAGAATACTCGATCAATTGGAATTCAGATTTTTTAAAATTTATATTTATATTTATTTTGTTGTTGGTGGCGGTGGTTATGTTAGTAATTAATATTGAGATACAAACAATTAATCAAATGGTAATTTTTCATGGGTCTTATCTAACAAGTGCATTGGAGTATAAGAAAAAAAATTATTTTTTATTAATTTTAAAATTGCTTTCAGATTTCTTGTATGATCTTTCATTTTATTTGTTCTTAAAATGTATTTATTAAGGTAATGTTTGCGAACGCTGATATGAAACATGTTTTTATTTATTTTTCAATAAACAAAAACAAATAACATGTTTACTTATTTCATTAAATCAATAACATGTTTTCAAAATAAATAATAAATAAAAAATATTTTTGGTGAGACACTGAGGAAGGAACGAAAACCTTTTTTCAAAAGAAAAAATGCATTTTATTGATTTCATAAATTTTAAAATTTGAAAAATTGTTGTCAATTTTTTTTGCTACGAAAATAGTTACTAAAAATATTTTCAATTTCAATTTTCAGAATCTTTAAAAAATATATATATAAACATTATTAAACAAACAAACAAACAAAAGACGAAGGGAGTCGACCTAATGGAGCCTAATGTATGAAATACGCCCTTATAAAGCCTCCGTTTGGGAAGTGGGTTGGTTTTTTTATTTTTTTGGCTATTTGAGCCTGGGTTCAAAAGCTTGGTTTGGGAAGAGATTTTTGACCTTTTGATTTTTTTTGTAAGAGAAGAGTGTAATGATTATGGGTTGGATGTATGTGATGTTTTGTCTGTTGTGACTCAAATAGCTTATTCTTTCTTTTATGGCTCAAAGAGCCAAAAGAGCCCAAATGAGCTCTTCCCAAACGACACCAAAGTGGAATGTCTAAGCCCTTGTTTGGCATAAGTAAAATGAGATTTTTTTGACTAAAATAGTCATAAAAAGATAAAGTAAATTTTTTAACTTAACAAAATAAAATGTCACATTTAAATTATAATTATTTTATTTTTTTATAAAAATAAAAAAAGTCAACAAAATTTATCCCAAATAAAATTTTTTAATCCCATACTAAAATAATAAAAAAAGACTAAAAAATCAAAAAATCAACGAACCCTTAGGCCTCGTTTGGGAACAGACTAATTTAGTAACTTTTTTGCTATTTGGCTAAAATATGAACTAAAAAAAATTGGTATGTTTGGGATGACTTTTTAGTTTTTTACGAAAAGATGTATAAAAAGTAGAAAGAAAAGAGAATATTTGACTTTTTGATATGAATTGTTGACTTTTTGACTAATTTAATAACTTTTTAATTTTTTGGCTAAAAAGGAGGGTTCCCAAACGAGATCTTAGTTAAATAATCATCTCGCTTCACTTCTATTTTTCTCCCATCAATTGTTAAAAAAATAAAATAAAAAAAAGAAAGATAAAAGCAAGTAAGTAGCCTTAGGCTATGTTAAACATGGGTATTTTTGACTATTTTTAGTCACAAAAATAAAAAGTAGATTAAAAAGTTAATAAAATAAAATGTCACATTTAAATAATAATTATTTTATTTTCAACTCCCAAAAGTCAAAGTAGCCAAAAAATTCATCAAAACGAAACTTTTTAACTTTAAGCTAAAATAATCAGAAAACAAAAAAATTAAAAAGCAAACTCACATTTAGTGGTGTTTTTAGAAGTTGGTAAAAAGTTATTTTTTTGACTTTTTAACTTTTTTTGATGACTTTTTTACAAAAAAAAATTGACTTTTTTAACTAAAAATAATTTTAAAAAATTAAAAAACTGACTTTTTTTTAGTTTCTTTCCAAAATGTCCCATAAAGGCTTAGGCCTCGTTTGGGAACATGCTAATTTAGTAATTTTTTAATTATTTAGCTAAAATATGAGTTAAAAAAATTAGTATGTTTGGAATGATTTTTTGATTTTTTACAAAAAGATATACAAAAAATAAAAAAAAAAGAAAATTTTTAACTTTTTGATATGAATTATTAACTTTTTAACTAATTTAATAATTTTTTGACTTTTTAACTAAAAAAGAGGATTTCCCAATAAGGCCTTAACACTATTTTTAGCTATTATCAGACAGGGCATTAAAGAAGCTTTTGTCATGAACAGCATGGGGGCCAGGACAACCGACTAATAATAATGAAAATTGAAATAAATATCACTGGATGGCAGATGGGGGGTGCTTCAACAATTTCCCATCATTTCAGGCCTGGTGCCCTATAAATTTCAAGAATAAAAATTGAGAATTATAATTTTGAAGTTGTAAAAAAAAAAATTAGTGATTTGGTGAGAAATAAAGTCACATGTGATGTGATGTGTGTGTTTATGTTTTTATTTTTATTTTTTTTGTTTTCTTGTTATATTATTAGAACTCTTTTTAAAACTCTAAAATTAGAGATTTCTATCATTATTAAAATTTTAAAATATGGTTTTTTTTTTCTATTCTTGCTTTAAAAAAAAAAAGAAAAAAGAAAACCTTTTGAATTTGCCATATCTTCCCATAATCAAGTGTGAATTAATATAAGACCAGGAATTGCGAGAAAATAATTTTGCTCGCCCATTTTTATGCGGTAACATTATTGATTTTGTAGAGTGATTTTTTGTTTTTTAATCTTATCTGCTACTTTAAGAACGATACTATAATAAGAACATTAATAAGAAATAAAAAATGTTTGAAAGCTCTAAATTAAGAGTTTTAAAAGGTGAGGTCTATCTATTAATAAGATGTTTTGGCTTTTTTTTTTATTTTTTTTTTATTTTCCTCATTATCACATAAGTAAAGCTCAATTTAATGTTTTAATTTTAAAATTCTATACCACCCCCTCGTAACAAATATGTCTATTAAAGTTCAATGGTACTTACTTTTTTTTCTTTTTTTGGTAAGAATGGTGTACTTATGTCTATCAAAGTTCGATGGTGTACTTACTTTTTTTTCTTTTTTTTCGTAAGAATGGTGTACTTACTTTGATAGGTATTTTTTGTCATTATTTATGATGATTGTCATTTGAAGAAAATATTTTTTTCAATAAACTTTTTAGTAATTTCTTTTGTGAATTTTTTTTGGTTAAATATTTTATTTTTCAAAATGCATAAAAAAACCCAGAAATTTTTAAAAATTAGACCAATATTTATAAAAATTATCAAAGGCAATAAGATTCACTTTGTTTGGTTAGAATTTTTAAAAAAAGACTTTTCAGAAAAATTTTACTTTATTGTTTTTCGTATTTTTTTTTGTTTTTACTGAATATTTTTAATATTTTAAGCAAATTTTTTAATTTTTAAGACATACCTAACATAAATATACTTAAAAAGTAAAAACATTGTGAAAAAACTTTTTAATAATTCACTAAATACCAAAAATGCAAAAAAAAGAAAAAAAAAAAAGAGAATTCAATACATTTTTTATATTTTTATGTATTTATTAATTTTTTAAAATATTTTTTCACAAATTTTTTACTTGTTAGATACATCTAAGTAAGGTGCATCTAAAAAAGTAAAAAAATGTTTAAAATTTTAAAAATACTCACTAAAACCAAAAAAAAATAAGAAAATAAAAAAATTCAATTTTCAAAAAATTTAATCCAAAAAACTCAAACTAAAACAGACTAAATAATTTTTCTTAGCCTTTTTCACATTTTTCATTTTTAGTAGATATAGGGCTTAATTTATTATAAAGTGTTAACTATTTTTTGAGTGATTATTCAGTATTCTCGAAGTATGGATACGTGGTGTTCTATAAGATTTTGATTGATAAAAAGCAGTAGGGACTCATAATTTATGTTAGGGATGAAGAAATAACACGAGAAATAAGTAATTAATAATTAACTTAAAATATGACCACATAATATTTTGAAATTATTAAATAATTTTCCTTATTTTTTTCATTTCAAAGATGTTACACTTGTTTTTATTTTCAATTCATCAATGGCCCCTTAGTACTTAAAAAATAAAAAATAAATAAAAAAGGTTGAAAGGTGTTTGCTAAAAAGATGTAACCTTGATAATGGAGCCATCTATGAATTGGACTTGGTTTCTTTTTCCATCTTTTTTTTTCAATAAGTTAGAGACAGATCTCTAAAGCCAAGATTCACGTGGGCATGAGAGAAAATCTGTATTTTTTCTTATCGTATGCATTATTTATTTGTATTTTATTTTTGCGGTACCAAAGGGGAGAGCGAGAGAGAGAGGGGCACACATCTATAAAAGGAAAGGTCTACCCAGATCTCTATTCGGCAAATAGGAACAGATAATAGTCTTCTTCTCTCATTGAAGAAGGTATGCTTCTCCATCATCACTCTCCTCTCAAATCAATACTCATTTGATCACTTCTTCTTTTCTTGTTCTTGGTTTTAGGGTTTAGTCACTCTATCCGAGTCATGAATATATATGTATGTATGTATGTATATATATGCATCTCATGCAATGATACGTAACGAGTTTCAGTCTATATTTGTTCTTGTTTTTGTTTTGTGTCTGCGTTCTTCTTTTAAGTATCCCCTAAAAGCTCTTCAACTTTTGTTGCTCGAAAAATGTTTTAGAGCTCTAGAGTAAGAAGAGCTGCTCTGGCAATTGTGTGGTTCCTACTTTAATGTGATATTTTAGTTTGTTTTTTTTATTTTTTTTTTAAGTTGTCAGTTCAGTAAAGCTCGATTTATAATTGGGCAAATTACATATACACCCCTCGAGGTTTGGCTAAATTACAGATACCCCTGAGGTTTCAGAAATTACATCCCGCCCCCTGAGGTTTGTATTTTCATAACAATTTGCCCCCTGAGGTTTATATTTCATAACAAATTACCCCCTAATTTCTTATGCAAATATAGCATTCGGGGGGAATTCGTAATTTCTCAAACCTCAGGGGCATCTGTAATTTAGCTAAACCTCGAGGGGTGTATATGTAATTTGCCCTTTATAATTCTACTTTTAGAGGTTATCAATCACTACTGTTTGTTGCCCCTTTGTACTGTTTTATATTAGGTCTCGTTTTGACAGCTCACTCCTTTAGCTTAAAAATTAATAATAAAAAAAAATTAATAACTTGTATTAAAAAGTTAAAAAAGTTAAAGGTTTTATTTTGTGTTCTTTTGAAAAGTTGGTAAAAAATCAATTTCTAATTTTTTATCAATTTTGAATCACAACACCTCTCACATAATTTACTCACAAAAGACAAAATAAGCTAATAAATCAAAAGATTAATTTTTTACCAACTTCTCAAAACACTCTTTATTTTTTATGTTTTGAACATTTAAAAAAAAAAATCAAAAAGACATTCTAAAATACTAATTTTTTTACCTCATATTTTAACAAAAAAAATGAAAAAATGATTAAAATAATTTGTTTTCAAAAGAGACCTTAATGTTGATTTTTTGTTTTGAGTTTCGAAACTTAGGCCTCGTTTGGAAACCTTTCCTTTTTGTCAAAAAGTCAAAAAATTACTAAATTAGTCAAAAAGTTAACAAATCATATCAAAATGTCAAAGATTCTTTTTTTCTCTATTTTTTGCACATCTTTTCGTAAAAAGCAAAAAAATCATTTCAAACATACTAGTTTTTTTTAATTAATATTTTAGAGAAATAAACAAAAAATTATTAAATTAGTTTATTTCCAAACGAGGCCTTAATAACGTTATACTTATTATTTTTTCAATTATATTATATATATTAGTAAATAAAATATCATATGAAAAGATGATAAGTACAATATTATTTTTCAAAATCAGATCGTTAAGAGTTTATAGTTTGAAAATGTCGTTTCTTGTTTTCGAAACAACAATGCTGTATTTATTATATTTTCCATAATACATATAGCCTCCGTTTGGGAAGTGAGTTGGCTTTTTGGCTTTTTGGCTTTTTGGCTATTTTAGCCTGGGCTATTTTCGCCTGGTTTGGGAAGGGCTTTTTGGCTTTTTGGCTTTTTTGACTTTTTTTGTGAGAGAGGATTGTAATGATTATGGGTTGGATTTGATGTTTTGTTTTTTGTGGCTAAAATAGCCTATTTTGTTTTTTGTGGCTATTTTAGCCCTAAACCAAGTTCCCAAACAAAGGCATAGTTCATAATACCATGTGACATATCTGGAACAGTTAAGGTCAAGTTTGGCTATCCTAAATAAGTACATATTTTTTATTTTTTTATCTTTTTTCTATCACATTATCTCTCTACTTTTTTGCACATCTTTTCGTAAAAAGACAAAAAGTATACTTATTTAGGTCATCCCAAATAAGTCCTAAATATTAATGCACCTTATGTTAAACTCATTATATCAAGGAAAATGTTACTATAGGTTTTAAATTTTCTATTAAATAAATGATCAAATATTTCATATGGGTACCGAGTTTATAAAATTACAGACTCTATACCCATTTGAGACATTTAATAATTTATTTAATAAAAAATTTGATATATCTAATATTACCTTTATATCAATGGTTATTGATGGTAATGTGAGATGATAAATTAAATGAGACATAAATTTATAAAAATATAAAAGTTAAGGATTTGGTATATTGATTGTCAATAATTCCGGTGACAAATTAAATGAACTAATTTTTTTTCTTTTAGATATTTATTTAAGAGTCTTATTAATGATAGTCCTAAAAGCTGTGAATAAAAATCATCAAATGTCAGACTTTTTTGTAATATAAGGGGTTGTTTGGAATGACCTAAATAAGTGTATTTTTTTGTCTTTTTACGAAAAGATGTGCAGAAAAATAGAGAGATGATGTGATAGAAAAAAAATAAAAAGATAAAAAGATGGATTACTTTGTGTATGCCAAACTTAGCCTAAATACACTCTATACATATCTCAAAATATTTCACACATTGCAGTGTTTTTTTATACACTTTTTTTTAAAACAATCTTAGAGTCGGTTTTAACATTTTTATTTAATTATTATTAGTAAATCATCAAAATTGATGAGGATTCGATATATATCTTGAATTATTGAATTATTGGACTTAACAGCCTGTGTTTAATGTGACATGTGCATGTTTTAATCAGTGCAGGTCTATCTATCTCCTAAGCTGAGAAATTAAAGGAATCGCATTTATGGATATGTCATTGGAAAAGTGGATTTCGGAATTGGTGAGTACTTTTTTAATATTAATTTTTAAGAAAATAATATAAAAGTCTATTTTTTAAATTTATTTTTTAGATTTAGTGATGTTTTAAAAAATTGGTAAAAAATTAATTTTTGACTTTTTTAATAAAAAAAACTAACTTTTTGAGTAGTGACTCGGGTAAAAAAAAAAATAATTTTTTTGACTAAAAAAATTAAAAATTAACTTTTTACTAGTTTGCCAACGCAAGTCATAGTGATGATTAAGAAGGTGATTGATTGATCTAATCATCTTTTTGACATAACATTTAGTTTAGAAAGTGAGTTTAATTTTTAAACAACAATGATTCATCCCCTTTTTCCCTCACTCCCTTTGACCCCCTCTCTCTCTCATTGGTCATTTTTTCTTTTTCTTTTTCTTTTTTTTCCTGCTCCTCCAATCACCACCTGCCACGTGGCAAAGGGGTGAGGGGTGACCTCCAAAAGGGGGTCCCAAGCATTATTCATTTTTAAATCAGAATAGTAATTTTATAATTTTTATAAGAATCTTATTAACATGTATACGTACATATAGATTCTGCATGTAATAGTTCCATAAAAATGTATGTACCAGTTTTGTATAAATATATATGTTTTTATAATTTGATTAGTCTAAAACTCTAAGCTTAATATTTAAAAATAATGTTAACATCACTTAGAATTGTGAATTTTATCATTTTGAATTAATTAAAACTTGCATTAATTTTGTGTCGGTATGTAAACAAAATTTAACTATTTTCTTTATTCGCACCTTTAAGACACGATAACAAAATTCTTTTCACATCACCTTTTGGAGTGCAACGTGGATGACGAGCAACCCAAGTTCAATATGTAAAATTAGTACTTTGAAAGGGTATTTGGCATCTTTTAAAAAAGATAATTCTTTTGATTACAAAATTAAAAAAACTTATTTATTATTAATTAAAAAATTAAATGTCTAATCAATTTTTTATTTACAAAAAATAATTTATTAATAATTTCTCAAGTATTTTTTGACTAGTGTAATCAAATTTAGGGTCATTTTGGGTACAAATTTATAAGTCAATTTATTAGTTTATTAAAATTATATCATTTTTTAATTTTTTATATATTTTTTTCCTAATAAGTCAAAAAAATCAATTTATAACTTTATTTTATAGGGATATATAAAATAAATTATTATACAGATTTCAAATAAAAAAATGGCTTGTTTGGTTTGAATTTGAGAGATGAGTTTTAAAAAAAAAAAATTCAAAAAATTTTCAAAATCATTTTTTCTCTCTTACACATTAATCAATCATTTTTTCTCTTTCCTCTTTCCTTCTCAATTACGTTCTCTCTCTTCTCTCTCATTCTCAATTACTTTTTTTCTCACACATATCTACTAAATTCTTCTAAAATATCAGTTTTAAAAAAAAAATTTCAAAAAATTTTCAAAATCACTTTTTCTCTCTTACACATTAATCAATCATTTTTTCTCTTTCCTCTTTCCTTCTCAATTACTTTCTCTCTCTTCTCTCTCATTCTCAATTACTTTTTTTCTCACACATATCTACTAAATTCTTCTAAAATATCAAATCATCCAAAATTCTCACAAAAAATTTATCTCTCAAAATATACAATCAAACAAACCAAAAAAATTTCTAAAACAACTCTTTAAAATTTTTTTCAAAAATAACTCTCTCAAAAATAAACCAAATAAGCCTGTCTTTTTATAATTTTAAAAATATTATTAAATATGTACAGTATTTTTAATTATTCATTTGTCGTTTATAAATTACTAGCCGTTAAATTATTGTTTCTCTGTCGTTCGATAAGAATCGTCGTACTATAAGTGATGTCGCAGTCAAGATCAATAATTGTCGAGAAAAGCGCTATTCACATTATTTTAGGAACTATGCTGCAGACCGCAGTGAGGGTCGCGCCCCCAAGTGAGGTAGCGAGCCCTCACTGGGCTGAAACTCTAAAAAAAAAATAATAATAATAATAATTTTTTTTTTTATCCAATCACAACACCCCATTTCACTGGGAGTCGACTCCCAGTGGGGTTCGAAGCATTTTTTTTATTTTACGGTGGTTGTTTTGCCTGTGCTATTAGTCTAAGGTTATTTTAGTACATTATTCTATTTATATTGTAATTATTTTATTTAAATTACATTACTTTTTTATTACATTATTTTAAATTTGAATTATATTTTATATTTTTTTTGTAAAAAATTAAAAAGTATATTAATCTATCACTTCCTAAACAATCTCAATTCACAATGATCATGATAACGGGGTTTCTTGGAAATCAGAAGGTGTTTTAGAAAGATAATTAAAAGTTACGTTTTAATTTTTTTTTTTTTTTTTTTTTTTTTTTTAAAAGGGGGGGGGGGGTTTTGTCTTTTTTTAAGAGATGGAGGTGGGTTAAAAGTTAAAAAGTGACTTTTAATCCATTTTTCAAAACATTCCCAAGTCCTTAGGTCCCAAGTTCAAACTCTCGTGTCAGTCTTTTAGGTGTAGCACAGTTAGTTAGGAGGCTACTTTTAAGCAATTTCATCGCACATGGTGTGGATTCAATGCTCTTCCGTCGTGAGAATCTTGATTTAAGCGAAAGTTGTCTTAGAAGATTGAGACAATTTCTCAGTTTATAGTTTCCTAACTTAGACCTGCGGATGAGTGAAAGGATTTTTTTGTAACAAAAAAAAAAATGATAACAGGGCTTCCTTCTGCCCCCAAATTTGATCGGAAGTCCTCTGAGAATTCAAATTTCATTTTTGGCCTATCTTTGAATTTTTATATGTTTTGAACATATTTTTCATGTAAAAAATTAATTTAGGATTGTTTGAGATTATTTAAATAAATGTATTTTTAATTTTCTTTTTATAAAAATATATGTGCAAAAAAGTATGACGATAATGTGATTAAAAAAAATTTAAAAAAAATGTGTTAATATCTAAATTTTCAAATAACCTCTTAATTAATAATCGATAATTATATATTTAAATTATATTTTTATTGAAAAGATGGATAGCCAATTTTTAAAATTAAATCTTTTGTTCATTTTTTAAAAAGGAATGTAAATTAAAAATGTGCCTATCAATATATATATATATTTTTTATATAAATAGTTTATTAAACAGTATTAAAAATCGAAAAAATGTTTGATCTACCGAAATAGAGAGTCCGATTACGCCCGAATGACGTGGTCGGATGATCGGCTGAATGACCGACATTACCCTTATTAATCACGGTTGTCATTCTTGTCAACCACGACTATCACCCTTATCAACTGGTGTGGTAATCAACATTCACCTATATTACTGACATTCTATCGAATGATTAGTCGAACGACCTTCTGAGTGACCTGTCAGACAATCGATATGCACAAATTCAGACAATTTAGATAAGACTAAATTCAAAAAATGTAATATTACTCTAAAAATTAAATAATTTAAATAATTGAAATGACCGAAGTGAGTCCAAATTATCATAAGCTAAATCGTCTAGTCCAATTAAAAAATTGGAGGGAAGCACAATTCATTATGATAATATATTTAAGCCTAGTTTGGAAACATGCTTTTTTAGTAATTTTTTGATTTTTGACTAAAATATGATGTAAAAAAAATTAGTATGTTTAGGATATTTTTTGAATTTTTACGAAAATATGTACAAAAAATAGAGAGAAAATAAAATCTTTAACTTTTTAATATAAATTGTTGATTTTTTTACTTTTTTAATAACTTTTTGACTAAAAAAATCACTTGTCAAACGAGGTCTTAGTATGATAAACCTTCTAAAAATGCTATTGTGCCATATAAATTTCGACAATGCTACGTAGCTCAAATTTTGTGGCTCAAAAGTGGCCCAAATGGCCAAAACGACGTCGTTTTGAGTACCGAACAACATAAAAATGGCCAAAACGACGTCGTTTTGGCCATTTGAGCCACTTTTGAGCTACAAAATTTGAGCTACGAGACATTTTCCTATAAATTTACCATGATTTTTGTGGGTAATGTATTTATCTGGTGAAAAAATTAAATTGATATAGGGTTGGTTTGGGAAGTGAGTTGACTTTTTGGCTGTTTGATTTTTTTGGCTATTTTAGTCTTAGCTAAAAAGTTTGATTTCAAATTTTTTTTTGACTTTTTAAATTTTTTAACTTTTTTTGTAAGAGAATGGTGTAATGATTATGAATTGAATGTGATGTTTTGTTTGTTATGATTAAAATAATTTATTTTATTTTTGTGGTTAAAATAACCAAAAAGACCCATAAAACCACTTCCCAAATGGTGCCATAATGTTAGTTTAAGTTTGGATAGAAATCTTAACGATTGCTATTTAAGTAAAATTTGTGAGATGATTCTACATCTTCATTTAGGGTTGGTTTAGGATGTTTTAAAAAAGTATATTTTTTAATTTATTAGTTTATATGAGTTGGTTTTGGGTTGAATTTGATATGATGTTTTAAAAAAGTGATGTGATTTAAATAAAATAGTGACTTTTTGTATTATTTATGCCAAGCCAACCCTTAATCCAGTGACAAATAAACAGGCTTAACGTTACCCCGAGTTTACTGAAAATTAAAGCCAACCCGAGACCCGAGTTACAACCCTAACTCCTCTTCTTCTGCGGCTTTTTTTTTGTCAGGCTAAGAAAGTTCTGTAAATGGTGTTTGATTCACAGGAAATGGATGATTACAACTTCTTAGATCATTGCCAAACCTATTCAACTGAATTCAATTCCATTGATGACTTTTCACAGCTCGTAAATTCACCTGGAGAGAATCTACAACAATCTTCATCTTCCGAGAGCTACACTTCTTGCTCTACCTTAAATCTCAATTGCACCGCCGCCGCCGCCGCCACCGCCATGGCCGGCGGAGGAGGATGTGAGAATGGCTATGAGAGACCAACTAAACAGATCAAAACGAGCATTACTGAACAATTCAGTCCTAATTTCCCGATTTCGTTTGCGGATTTCGGATCGTTGCCTAGTTCACCGTCTACGAATCCTCCTGAGAATATCGATAACGCTTCGGAGCCAAAGGATGAGGTGGTCTCTAATGGAGATCATGCAAGTGTTCCGTTGAAAAATAATCCACCCAAGGCTGGTCAGAAGAGGTCGAATGCGATCACTAGAACTCCTCTGGAGGTTCAAGATCGCGTAATGGCGGAGAGAAAGAGGAGAGAGAAACTCAGTCAGCGATTCATTGCCCTTTCCGCCATGGTTCCTGGCTTAAAGAAGGTACTTACTTTCTTACTTACTACATTATTTTCTTTTATTTTTTGATATATATATATATATATAAAGAAAGAAAAAAAGAAGAAGAAAGAAATCAACAAGAAGAAGAAGAAGAATTTCACTTGTGTTTGTTTATGAATCAATGTTTTCATGTGCTCCTTAAGGTTTCTACTGATGTGTTTGCAAGATCGTGACAGAAAACCAGAGGGCCTTTGCTTATATTTTATCAATTCCCCCCCCAAAAAAAATAAATCTAGTGTGTTTATCTAGGAGATGATCTTTCGATATATCTAGTGCTTTTTTTGTTCTCCTCTTACATAGATCCACCCAATTTCACATGATCTTTGATACTATATCTTATTTAAAAAATAATGGTTGAAAAACATTATTAAATCTATTTCAATACATCCTAATTCCCAAAGAAGTTTTCATATTAGTGTAATGCCATTTTTTGGGAACCCTGTTTTCATACCTAATCCAATTTATCTTACAGATGGACAAAGCTTCTGTTCTTGGAGATGCCATTAAGTACTTGAAACACCTTCAAGAACATGTGAAATTGCTTGAGGAACAAATCAACAAGAAATCTGAAGAATCAGTTGTGTTTGTGAAGAAGTCTCACATTTCCGGCGACGATGATTCTTCTTCGTGTGATGAGAACTTTGATGGCCAAGCGCTTCCAGAAATCGAAGCTAGAATTTCAGAAAACCATGTACTCATTAGAATCCATTGCGAGAAGCAGAAAGGCGTTGCGGTGAAACTACTTAGCGAAATCGAGAAGATTCATCTGAGTGTTGTTAATAGCAGTTTCTTGCCATTTGGGCAGTATGCTATGGATATCACTGTCGTTGCTCAGGTAAATTCAAATTTCTGATGAAGACTTGTTAATCAACAAATGTTTCGTGAAACTGTTTTTGGAAAATAGGAAATTACACCCAATAGGCTGTAAACACAACCAAATTTGATTTCACAACTTTAAATATTTGTATTTAGCATCTGAAATTCTTGCAGATGGATGCGGATTTTTCCTTGACAGTGAAGGATCTGGTGAGAAAACTGCGCTCGGCTGTTTTGAAGTTCATGTGACATGCTTCCATAACCACTTCATCCGATTGAAGAGCGTGAACCAGTTGTATCAGGAGCGGAGGAAGTGTGGCTGCACTGCAGGGCTTGAGCTTCCTCTCCTCTGGCCCTGTTGTACATTATTAACTTAGAAAAATAATGGCAAGGAAAATGAGAAAATTCGGAAAAAAAATGGTTTGTAATCTGCACTGTAGACTGTCCTTATGCTGGTGAATCTTTCCCATTTGACCCCACTTTTGATAGGAAAAATCCCGAGTCATAAAATTCGATTACAAGGTTGGACATAACTTTTTAACATGAGGTGGATCTCACTGATGTAAAATGATCGTGTCTGATTCTGTGATTGAATTCGATTCCATGCAACAACTGTTTTGATAGTGGTTTGTTTTTTTTTTGGTTGATTATGTAGACCACGTTTTAACTGCCCCTATGCAATAAAGTTGAATAAAGGCTTTTTCGAATGCGGAATTGCCATGTATATCACCAGTTTTGATTATCGTGTAGTTATGTCTCGTGGATGTGAACTGTTGGATTAGTAGGGCTATTGATCCAACCGTTGAAATATTACATGATATAACTCGGTGGCTTATGTAGCATTTTGCTTTAGTAATGTTATAATATTATTATATAAGGGTAATGTTAGGGACATCAAATTTTTTATCAAACAAATGATCAAATGTCTCACATGGGTGTGGAGTCCGCAATTTTGTGGGCTTATACTTATGTGAGACATTTGGAGCCCTAAAAACTTCCTCCCTAATTTCTAATTTTGGCAACTTTTTTCTTTTTTTTTTTTTTTTTTTTTTTTTTTACTTGATATGGAAATTAGGGGGATTAGGGGATGTAGCATGACCCTAATAGAAAATAAGGCAAAATATAGTTATAGTTTTTATATTTTATCCTTGTATTATTTTGGTTATTTCACTTTCAATTGTCTCAATTTTAATCATTAATTTTTTATTTTATGTCAATTCAATTCCATTGATAATGTTGTTAGGATTTTTGACAGAAAATTATTACTGAGTTAGTTAAGATTAACTCATTGAGGGCTATTTTGGAAAGTGGGTTAAAAGCTATTTTCTAATTTTTAACCCACTTTCCTCTCTCACAAAAAGTAACTTTTAATCAGCTTTTAACTAAAAAGTAACTTTTAACCATCTTTTCAAAATAATACTGAGTTAATCTAGTTTATAATTTTATCCCTAAAAAGTGAATCAACATGTTTTACCTGTAAAAAAATTTACCACATAATTGATTTAAAATATTACATAAGTAATGTCACGTGGTGTTCTGGAATTAGTTGTAAATTATAATGCAAGGGGACATCTCATTATATGATAGCCATTTGGAGTGAAGAGTATATTATGGGTTGTTTTGGGAAGATGGTTAAAAGTGACTTTTTGGCTTTTAACTAAGCTTTTGGCTTTTTTAAACAAATGATTTGGGAAGTTGGTAAAAAGTGACTTTTTGACTTTTTTGATTAATATTTGTTTATGATGTCAAATCATAATAAAATAACTAAACTACCCCCATTTATTTAAAATATTTACAACTAAACCTATGTAACACATTGTGACCCATGAGGGGTAAAATTGTAATTTCACCGTTGGCTAAAAACCAACTTGCCAAATGAAAAAAAAGCTAAAAAAGCCAACTTTTAGCTTTTGCTACTAACCAAAAAAAGTGACTTTTAGCCAAGTTCCCAAAATAGCCCTATGTCGTGAAACAAGTATTATATAAGCACAATTCATCACTTCAATAAGGTGGCCGTAGCCCCTCATTGTCTACATATTGTTCCGTCCCTACATAGATTATATAATTTATCAATTCAATCTCTACTATATAAATTCAGAATCCATAAAAATGAATTCTTAACATTTTTCATTCAAATATCTCCAAGAAATAGCATGTGAAATCTGGGTTTTTGAAAAATGTTTTACAAATATCAGTCAAGTACCAAAAAAAATAAAAAATATTAATATGTACAAGCAATAGCATGTGAAATCTGGGTATATGAAAAAGAAAAATGCCTCATACACCTACTGGGGGGTTGACCCCAGTGAGGTGACACTCCATTATTGGCCAAAAAAAAATTTGTTTTTTTTTTTTTTTTTTAAGTTTCAACCAGTGGGGGCGCGACACCTCACTGGGGGTGCGACCCCCACTGGGGGTATGCAGCAATGAAAAATATTTTACAATTGTCAACGAAGAAAGAACCAACAAAATAAGCAATAAAATTTATTGATTTGACATGAAATTGATTTGCATAAAAAATATATTTTAGTACTTCTTCTGTCTCAAAATAATAGTATTTTATTTTATTTTTTATTATCTCAAAATATTAATCTATTTTCAAAAATTAAGTACAAAAATAATATAAATTTTTTATTTCTCTTTTTTTAAATTCATTAAAAATATAAAAAGTACAATTATGACATTAATATTCTTCAAAAAATGTACTATCAAAGAGTAATTTTGAAAAATCAATTTTTTTAGTGTAATAATTATACTATCAAAAAAAATTTAATTTCTTAAAATAAATCATTATTTTGAAACGGAAGAAATACAAAATATGTTATTTCCGATTGTTTGACCGTCGCAAAAAAGTGCTTTTTATATCCAAATCCCGTTCTAATTAATTAACACGCAGTCGTTTCTTTAAAAAAAAAAAAAATCATCCTGTATAACTTGCCCTATCCCCAAATCGGTATGAACTCTCTCTCTCTCAAATCGGTATGAACTCTCTCTCTCTCAAATCGGTATGAACTCTCTCTCTCTCAAATCGGTATGAACTCTCTCTCTCTCAAATCGGTATGAACTCTCTCTCTCTCAAATCGGTATGAACTCCCCTATCCCCAAATCGGTATGAACTCTCTCTCTCTCAAATCGGTATGAACTCTCTCTCCCTCAAAATCTCACTCTTCACTTTCTCTCGCTTTACTCTCTCTTTCAACTCACCACTCCAATTTTATTGTTCATTTGAAGATGTCGATCAATTGTTGATGAATATTTGCAGATTTTGATCGATCGTTGATGGAGATTTGAAGATTTCAATCTGCTGTTGATGAAGATTTCGATTGATTCATGATCGGTAAGTCTAATTTTTATGTATGCATTGAACTCTGTCTCTGTAATCCCTATATCTTTTTCTCACCTCCCAAATTCTCTTTGGCTTTTCGCGAAGATCAACATCAGTTCAGAGGAATTGGATTTCGAAATCAACATGAATTTTTTCCAATTCAATTTAGTTTTATCCATGCGGTGCAAACTCTGATTTGGAAATAGGTTTTTGATTTGAAAATTCATTTTATTTTTTTAATTGTTAAATCTCGATTTTCTTTGGCTTTTAAATGTGGTTGAGTCTGCAAAATCATAAGTTCACAAGTAAATATTGTACTTCTTATATACCTTTTTGATGTAGGTATTCTTGGTGAAATATCTTTGACATGTATTTAAGAAGCTAAACACACCTTATTTTTCATAGTCAATAAGGTATGCTTTCTCGTTCAAGTTAATTACACTAACCTTTCTTTATATCCTCGTCTTGTTAATTTAACTCTCCCACTTTTTACTCATGTTTTCAGGATTTAGTTCCCCTACCAGGGTCCAACAATGAATCTTGGTGCCAGGGATTAGATGGATTGGCTTCTAGATATGCCGAATACTATAAGCAAGGTGCTCGCTTTAAGAGGCTTACCAAACAGATAAGTCTTACAATGTGAATAAAAGAAAAAAATGGTATTTTCATTTGTGATTTTAACCTTATTAATGTGGATTAGGCCATCTCCAACGGTTCATCAAACCTTGCATAAAATTTGAAATTTAGTGAAAAAGCCACTTTTTGAAACTCCAATGGTTTCAGCAAATTGGTATCAAAATGAGAATGGAACAAAAAATTCATCAAAGTGAGAACAGGCTCTAGGTTTCACCATTTTACTGTGCGTGACCGTTGGGGGGAACCAACTGGTCAACCAGCTGCTTGACCGGACCGGTTCCTCAATTCTACATTTGTTTTGTTTGACAGGTGCGAACTGGTTTGAATTGTTTTATTTTGAGATAGGTTATTTTGTGGACTATGAATAATTTGAAGGGTGATATAAATTTAAATTCCTATGAAAATATAATTGAAAGAGTTACATCTCATATACATATTTCAGAACTAGCCATTCCAATAATTTAACGTTGGGTGGACAGAGTATTTTGAAAATTTACCTGTCGAACTGGTTTTAACTGGTTTATTTTGAGATAGGTTATTTTTTGGACTATGAATAATTTGAAGGGTGATATAAATTTAAATTCCCATGAAAATATAATTGAAAGAGTTACATCTCATATACATATTTCAGAACTAGCTGTTCCAATAATTTACCGTTATTTTGAAAATTTACCGTTGCTGATGTGCTTTATAAAATATATCTGTTTCGTAATATCATGCTGTGAATTTCAGTTGGGTTGACAGAGTATTTCATTTTCATAATAGCATCACATTATACGCTGTGAATTTTGTTTATTCTGTGTCATTATAAATTTTTTTCTCAGTGCGCTTTAATTTATATTATCTGATTATATTATCTGATTCTGAGGTTGAGTGTATATCATTCTAATATTTTTCAGTAAGTTAGATATTGTATGTACTGAATTTTTTTCAAACTATGGAAGATTTTGAAATGTTTGAGGAATCACAAATGTTGGAGCACAACACTGATATTAATTTTATGTCAGAAACTTCACGAGAGCAGAACACGCAGAACACTGATATTCATTTTATTTCAGAAACTTCTCGTGTTTCTCGTGGTAAAGCATTCACAATTATAGAAGATAAAACTTTATGTAGACCTTGGTTAGCAGTCTCTCAAGATCTCATTACTGGTAAGAGTTAGACTATGGCTATATTTTGAGAGCGAGTACTTATTTATTTTAATTCACAATTGAGCGATGAATCAAATCGAAACCGTATTTCTTTGTCTCACCGTTGGTCTGGCATGCAAAAGGCAATTAATAAATTCTGTGATTTTCTTGAACAAATTCAACTGAGGCAACAAAGTGAAACAACTGAGGCAGACATGGTAAAATTTATTTGTGTTATTAAATATCAAATTTCTTTTCTAAATGTATACTTGTTATTGAAATTTTTGTAATTTTCTTTTTTGTAGGTCGCTGAAGCGAAGCGAATATATAATGCAATATAGAAAAAACGCTTCACATTTGATACATGTTGGGATATTTTGCGCCGAAGTTGTAAGTGGGATGAATTTCGAACACAACCCAAAAGAAGCACGCAACATGCTTATCCATGTTCGAATCCACCAACTGAATATGAGGCATGTCAACCCAACCAGAATAATGCAGTGCACGAACAACCATCTAATACATCAACACGACCAATTGGTACTACGGCAGCAAAAGAGAAGTTGAAAAATCAAACAACGCACGATAGTATATTTGATGAAATGGCTGCCAACCAATCCAAAATTGTTG